TTTGTAATCCAGCGTTGCGGTGATTCATTCTCATTTTCTTGTTTCTGTCGTGCCTCTGTAGGGTCTGTATGCCAGCTTTGCCTTGCAACTCATGTTGGTCTTAATGAGCCATCTCATTCACACACTGACGGGTTTGAGATGCCTCGACAAACAGGATCCTCCTGGAGTGTTAAGAGGCTGTTGTGGCCCATTGTGGCGAAGCTGTGTGCAGCGTTGGAGGGGCACACAGGATGGAGCTCAGTGGTGGGCTTGTCCTGGGCCTCCAGCCTGTGGGCCGGAAGAGCAGGGCCGTGGTTCACTGCTATTCTGAATGGCCCCTGAGAGTCCAGTGTGATGGACAGTCTCGGGCTGTACACACTGGCTCTTTGTATCAAGGCTTCTTGGACTCTCTCTCTCTGTTTCTATTTTTTATTTTTTTTGGTTTCGCTCACACAATGTAACACACTCACACTTTTTTCTCACACAAGCATCTTTCTCTCTCTCTCTCTCTTTCTCTCTCTCTCTCTCTCTCCTCGTGATCCCGACGTGGCAAATCGAGCTTCTGCTGCAAGGCCAGACATTGTCATCGTCAACAGTCACTAACTTGTCTTTCTCTCACTCTATTTTTCATTCTGTTTCTCCGCCTTTCATTCATGTACTGTAGCGAGGAGATGTGGAGTATTTTGAAGTAGTCGGAGGTCCGACCAGGAGTATTAGTCGGGGCATGTGAAAGTCATCAGAAGGAAAGGGCCCAATGTGATATTCATTTATGGTGCTCCACTCAGAGCAAGCCAGCAGGATCCATTTACTACAAGCTTGTTGTTTAGAGAGTCACCAGCTCCTACTGTTATTCCCTGCAGAGGAGGAGGATTTGACCTAAAGTGTTCCCTGCAATATCCTGTATACTATGAAATCCCACACAGTACACTGAGATAATGGCTGTTTCTTTTCTAACTCAAGTACACATGACAAAATTCGCTATGAAATTTGAGATCATTTTCTCGCAGAGAGTTAGAAGATTGATGCTGTTTTCTTATCCATCCAGTAAATATTAAGCTGCTGGAGTCTTGTTGTTGACATCGGGCCACGCGAAATGATCTCACAAGCTGTTGTTTTTACGCTTTGATTTTTCTAGAGACTAAACAAACAAGAGCTTTTCTCAGTGTTTCCAGTTTTTGCGATGAGCTCAGTTTAGATCGATTTTTTTTTAACAAACAAGTGTGATAATGGTATTTTTCTTATTCTTGGTTACATAAGTTGCGTCAAAAAATAGAGGAAAAAAACTAACAAATCTGGTGTCAAGAAGGTAATCTGAAATTGCAGCCACAGATTTAAAGCTAAGAACATGTCATATCTCACAGATGTTTTTTCCCCACCACTCTGCCTTTGAATCCATCTACTGAACAAGTCTTATTTCACTTTGCTGCACACTACTGTCCCTGTGGTACTTTGTGCAAGACTGCTTGACGGTGGTGTTGGGCTTAGGTGTCACTTCCGTCTTCCCTGATGTCTAATCCCAAAACTAAAGCTTTGTGAATAGAGTTATTCTAACCTGACAACATGCCGCGTCCAGCTGTGAAAATACCACCCGGGATTTATTGTGCTATTAAGCATAACACCCAACTGGTGACTCACGCTTTCTCCATTTAGAGCGAGAGAGCAAGAGAGGGAGAGAGAGAGAGGGAGAGAGATGCCTAACCAACATTCTGGATGGATAGACGCTTCAAAAGCAATTCGCTCGTGTTGAGTGGACACTAATCAAACTGATGGCTTATCGATCGGATTGGTGGCTTTCAGCTATAATGTACATTTTCTCTCTGTAAGTGCACCAAGTTAGACAAGCATGGCAGATACAGACATGTCAGGCTGACCTTCTGTGGATGGACAGGAGGGATGCAACATCAACGGGATGTTTTAAAGAATTTCAAACATTACATATTTGATGCAAAAGCAATATGTGTTTCTCATCATTGTTGACATCCTCGTTTGAGTTCAGGATTGTGTTTTTCTTTTTCAAGTCTTGCAAATGATGGCAGACTGTCATGATGATATTATGGCACCCAAACTATATAAATGCTTTTTGAATTGCTGATTTTTCTTCCATTACATGTCAAATAAAGTCATAATTATTAGTGCTAGTTACTGGATTTTTGTGCCGTTTAATATGCTCATAAGTAGAAACGCTAACCTCAGTTTTCATATGGAAACACTTCAAAAGAGCATCGTTCATTGCTGACAAAGTATGTGGTTGTGGAAACAGTCTTTAACAGTGGGGATGAGTTGATGTTGAGCTGACATCTGCTCCTGGATCAGCGCTACCTGACAGTACCTTCTACTACAAGAGCAGCTCTTTCTTTTAAATGGCCTGTATTTACTTTGCAGCTGGGCTCAATATCCTGTGGAGCTCTGTGATCTGACTCCCAGCAACCCACTCTCCCTCCCCGACATGTTCATCGGAGAAATGTGGGCTGCGGGAGAAGTTAGCGACTCTGCTGTGGGCACACTCATTGAGTTGTGGTTAACATGCTGCCATGGCAACTCCTATTCATTCACCGAGGCCACAGAAATGTTTTTATCTCCCCAGTACTGCACAAACAGTCAGGACGAAGCATCTGACTGCAGAAAAGTATTGGCCCAGCAGCAGTATATCTGTTTTAATTTCCTTTGTCATGACATTGCAAAGGGAACAAACACAGATGAACTTTCAGGATCCTCACCTCATGGAGGAGGCAAGCAAGTGGAATGGAATTTTTGGTCTCTTTTCTTCAAGGAAAATTCAAAGTTTTGTCGAGCTAAGATGTCTCTATTGTCCACAGTCTGTCAGTGCATGTTTATTTTCCTACTACATCCAAAAGCATAGTTGAAATAGTCTGATAATTTGTCTAAATGTGGCAAATTAAAGAAGAAACTTACAGAAGGATACAGGACATAATGTAGATTCTATCACCTATGATTTGGGGATTACTTTTAACCCTCTGAACTCCAAAACCAGCTGGGTTTGAAAGGCCTGTTGTCAAAATTTTAGAATTTATTGGAACCAGAAACTGCAAAAACAGAAAGCATCAATGGATTTTGAACTTCCCAACAATCCTTGAACCAATCATCTGTGATGTTCCACTCTGTCTGGAAACTGAACCAAATCTAACCTTAAAATCATAATATTTGATCAAAATTACTTTATACCACATGTCTCATTTGAAAATATACCAAAAATAAATCACTTGCACGAATGAAATGTGTTGAAAAAACAAAAATTCTGCACTCTGAAGCCATTAGTGACTCTTTTGCAACCAGCTGTCACATGACGAAAACTCTTCTGGCTGAACTTTAGGCTGTGCTCACTCACAGCAGGTGGGAGAAAAGTATAAAAATGAATTGAAAATCAAAACACACTTTTGAGTTCTTTTTAGGTCTAGCCATGGTTGGGCTGTTTCCATAGAGATGCAGGACTTTATACTGCTATGAAAAAGCAGCCCACAGTAAGAAAAAAAGTGTAGCATGACCCAAAAAAAAAAGAAAAAACCTTAAAAACTGCTCTGGGTTCAGAGGATTATTAACACCCCAAATTAAAGGCTGCTTGAAATCCTATCTCATGCTGTTGGTATGCAACAGAATGGTTTTAATGGAAACTTTTATGCAGACTTCTATACTGTAGACAACCTTTTCCTAATGCATGTGCAGGCTTTGGCTATTTTTCTACAGGTGATCTTAAACCTACAATAGCTGATGTTGTGGCCACTTGGGGGCAGTGCAGTGTGCTAAGATGGCAAACGATTGCCTTTATATATTTCCAGCAGATACAACATTAACACTTCTTTGGAGATCAGACAAATGTTTGTGTACCTGACATGTAGGTCCCAGATTCACTGTCCATCTAGCTCCATGTTGGACTCAACTAAATTTGTAGAGAAATCTTCAGCCTGCTGGATGTTCATCACTGTATTGCTGCTACTTGAAGTCGGACAATCTTAGATGGTGGATGATTGTAATCTGGCATGTGATCTGCTTGTCAGAGGAATGTGATTGGTTGAAACTGTGATTCAGATTGCTGATCTTGAATCTTCCCCCAGAAGCTCTCATATGATCACATGATGTGAAACTGCACAGTTGAGGATTGATGTGTGTGGGTTGGTCTCCCCGAGCGACCTCTGTCACGTCACACGAAGTCATCTGATGCAGTGTTAATGTGAAAATATTGACCATAGCAGCTTTAAATACTCGTAGTTGCAGTGTGACATCGGGCATATGCGCGAGGTTTAAAACATAAACAGGCACTGACCTGGATGTCCTATGACTCTACAACATCCTGTCAGACACATGTGGATCTGATTGGAAGCACACTGCGGCTTGTTTGCATGTGTCCACAGACGGTGCATTGTGATGACTGGCTCCGTTTCACAAGGCATAAGAACACAGTGGACGAGACAGACCCCATCTGGGTCACTTCATTTCCCTCATGGTTAGCTGTCATTGATTTCCATTACAGCTTGGCAGACACCCATTGCTCTGACCTGGTGGATGGCCATTAGTGCCCTTTAAGTGTAGTGATGAATCGTCAAATGAAACATTAAAAGCGGTGTAGATTGTAAAAGCTCCATGTCACACAGCAAGCTGCTCTGTTTTCCACTGGGGCTTGCAGAAGTTTCGTAAGGAAGCATCAAGCATGACCGCAGATAAATTTCATGAAAGCTGTTGAACAGATGCACCAGCTCTGTTTGCATTGTTTCCTTTGCAGCATTGAGGATGGGGCTTTGTTGAAAAGTTGTAATTAGTTACAGAGTGATTGTGATAATCTTCCCTCTTGCCCAATGTGTTATTTGTAGATGAGTTGATGATTCATATAACTGATCATCTTTAATTACTTCAAGATTGTTTCCATGGTCCCTCACATGGAATTGACAATAGGTGTTGACATCAGGTCACTTCATGGCCTTTAAAAGTGAAACCATTTGGTGCAGAAAATTATTTTGCAATATCAATTGGCCATCACCCCTGACACTTTTCTCTGTTTTTTTCAACAGGTTGCTTCGAGTGCTGCATCAAATGTTTAGGCGGTGTGCCCTACGCGTCGCTGGTGGCTACGATCCTCTGCTTCTCCGGCGTTGCCCTGTTTTGTGGATGCGGCCATGTGGCTCTCACTGGCACCGTGACCATCCTGGAAACCCACTTCTCCAAGGTCACCACCGATCACGCCATGCTGACTAATGTGTAAGTGACCTCATGCTCTATGCGCGCTGCTCGTAATGTGAGTCTGAGAAACAGATAAAACTGATAGCTTTGTTTGCTTGTCAGTTTTATCTTATCTGTCTTGGTAAAGTTTGTGATTATATCAAATATTCCCTGGTTTGATATCGCAGTGGGATCCATTACGCTCGCTGGGAAACGTGTTCGTACATAACCATGACAGTAAAGAGCATTCCAAACCCAAGACAGATAGCTCTTTTAATGAGGTTGACTTTATGTAAGCTATTTTTAGCCGACATCGTCTCCCATGTTCACCTTATCCTTGAGAACGGTCCTAATATGGGCCTTTTACAATAAAAGAGGAATGACATGAGACAGGGCTGCACATATGTTTTATGTTGAGGTGGATTTGAAGTGCACTGTTTAATTTAAGATGTCCGCAGAGGCAGTCCGTCTTTCGGTGGATGATTTCCAGAGACATACATCACCTGTTATCTCCACATTTGGGCTTAGCGTCTCTCCTCACCTCTTAGAGAAACGTGGACACGATCTCATTCACAACCATCTTTTCATGATTAACCATCCCATCATGTTTCAAGGATTGCATGCAAATAAAAAATGATTCCACCCGGCTGTTTTCCACACAGCGCTCTGTCATGCTGCTATTATACCTGACATTTTTAGTGGGTCTCTCCAGGTGTTATGTTGGAGATTAACAACATCAGTTCTTGATTTCTTTTCCGTGCCTGCTGGATTTAACTTGTTGCAGCTTCACTGGCACAACTAAGCTGTATGTGTGACATTGCTCTTTAACAGAATACAGCTGATGCAGTATGTCATCTATGGCATCGCTTCCTTTTTCTTCCTGTACGGGATCATTCTGCTCGCCGAGGGCTTCTACACCACCAGTGCAGTCAAGGAACTGCACAGCGAGTTCAAGACCACCATCTGCGGACGCTGCATCAGTGGAATGGTATGTTAATGCAACCACAACGCCGTGTTGAACCTGATTTTTAAACAGCACGTGCTTTAAAAAAAAGAAAGAGTTTATGCCATGTGATTAAAAAATATAAACGCAGTCATGAGGATGAGGTTCATTATAGGAATGAAGTATGACAGGAAAAAAAACAGCTGATTTAGCTTCATGGTTTTGTGACATTTCTTCATCCTCAGTTTGTGTTCCTCACGTACATCCTGGGTGTGGCCTGGCTCGGTGTGTTCGGCTTCTCTGCTGTGCCCGTCTTCCTCTTCTACAACATGTGGTCTACCTGCGCCGCCATGAAGTCTCCAATGGCCAACCTCACAAACATCGACTCCATCTGCGTGGATGTTCGTCAGTATGGTAAGAGAACAGCACTTTGTCCGGGAATGTCATTAGCTTTGAGATCAGACTAAACAAATGCAGCAGTTTCTGGTCAGAGCACTCAGGTGGCTTAAAACCAATGCATGATTAAATATCAGGGGCTCCCAACCCTGTAAACTTTACTTGTAACTTAGTGATGCACGATATTAAAATATCTGGCTGATACCGATATCCGATATTAAGATTTCTGATGTCGCCGATAACCGATATTACCGATGTTGATATTCAATTTTTGTTCACACTGAAACATGAGTATAAGTGAGCGCTGTGAGAACGTGAAAACTATTCAAAAGAAGCCCATACCAAATTAGACTTCTTTATAGTCTTCTTTATAATGTAACAAACGTAAAACACATTTTAACATATTCAATGTTCAAGTCCAGGACCATTTAAGTAAAAACATCTGTGAAACAGCAGCATATCAAAGACGAAGGCTTTAATGTTAGACATTTATTGTTTTTTCACATCAGCTAAATTTGTTCATCAGGCCGATACCAATATATTGGAAAAAACACTAATATCGGCCGATACCGATGTGGTCGCCGATATATCGTGCATCCCTACTTGTAACACCCAAAATCTAGCAACATCTGCTTGTGAGCCCTCATTGCATGTTGCACAGCTCTTCTGATTGTGACTTTCACAACAACTTTTACCAACAAGTAACTTTCCCAATTTTCTATTTTTTGAAATATGGAAGGCAGGAGAGTACATTTATCCATTAATCCACAAGAAAATGGCAGAGTTAAGAGGACAGTTTGTAACTCTCATCACAACTTTTGCTATTGTGAGGTAGACCTTTATGGTACTGACAACAAAAAATGAGACAAATGATTCCTCGAATGTCTTTAAAGTTGTGTGTAAAGAGGAACTCCAGCAACTTATTATTGCACTGCCATCAAGTTTGGGGACTTGGCAGTAACAGATTTAAATCAATGATCAATATTCATGAAGTGGATGCCAAGATATCTTGACTTTTAGACCCTCCCCAACTGGTAAAAACCCTCCATATTTTTTTTTTATCTCTAGCTTGTAATGCAAACTTATTGTTATAATTTGATGTCCCCAAGCTCAAGCTGAGACAACATTTTCAACATTACCAGCATTGTTTTCTCAAACTGTGGGAAGCTGCAGAGTCACAGAAGACAATAAATAGATATTTGTTTCTCATGATGACAAAGAGTGTCCCATTAAATCTTTGAATTTTCATTTTAATTTTGCACTTTGGGCTCAATCGGTGGACATTAACTCAGTAGGTTGTGGTTAAAGTGTTGTGCTTCGTGGGTTCGGTCATGGTTCACACAATATGAGGACCTTGTTGGGTGCAAAAGTAAACTATTGGATTTCATGCTTGCAGGAATTATTCCATGGAATGCCACACCAGGAAAAGCCTGTGGATCTACGCTAGGTGACATCTGCAACACCAGCGAGGTAAGACGCTGTCGTCTATCCACACATATTTATACAAATGTCACGCAGAAGAGGCGTGCAGAGCAGTGTGGGATAAGATAACTTATTTTTTTCAACAGAGTGATGACTGTTGGTTGTCTTTTTCAGTTCTACCTGTCTTATCACCTGTACATCGTAGCGTGTGCCGGGGCAGGAGCCACTGTGATCGCTCTGGTAAGCTTCCCTCCAGTCTCTCCATCCTCTCCCTTTAGTCCATCTTTGCACGGTTTGTATCAGCAGATCATGTGTCAAGTGCTCCTCTTCTCATTCCCATATGGTTTATGTAACCTCACCGAGGATGATTACACGTAGGCTTTTCCTCGAATTTCCATTTTGCTGTTTCCCATCTGCTTAGATGCACGCGGCCCTGTTTATGTTGTAGGATGGTCGGTACAGTGTGCAGTTTGGGCTTGCTTTTTCAGTGTTACGATTGTCAGATATAACACCTAGTAAATAACACAGTAAGGTATCGTTAAATCGCACATTATGGTTCTTAATATTTTACCTTTTACTGCTGAAAACTGATTGGTCACTTTGCTAACTTGTCACGATATCAGTGACGAGGAGGTCACCGGCATGTACTCTTACCACCTTCTCTGTTCTCTTCCACCAGCTGATCTACATGATGGCTACCACTTATAACTTTGCCGTTTTGAAGTTTAAGAGTCGAGAAGACTGCTGCACTAAGTTTTAAACTGTTTTAAAGAGCACGGCGCACCATTCGAGGCTGTGCCGAGTAGAGACAGTTGCCACTGACAACAAATGAACTAAAAAAAACAAAAACAAAACAAAACCTGAGAATAGAAAAATCAACATCTCTCCATTAGTAATCACATGATGTGTAAATAGCTGATTATATGCTTCTTTTAGCATTTGGTATCCAGGGATATTGCTTGTCTGAGGAGACCTGATGAAAGTTGTCTTCAGAGTGGGGTGGTGTTTAGTTGACTGGTTTGTTCTGCTTTCCTTGGCACTCACTTTTTAGACATTTGTCACCATCAGATTTTATAGAAATGTGCACAGCTAGGAATCCACAATAGTGTTATTTATATTCGTAATATGTGAAGTTGGTTTTGGCCTGCACAGATGCTTCAACTGCAGGAGTAACTTAGGTTGAAAATAATGATTAAAAATGAATAAATCCACAGTATTTAGCACGCAGTATTCTGCCTTGTATGAGCTCAGTTGACTGCAGTCAGAGCTGAAACGTGTGCACAAACTCCTGAGGCCTTCGTAATTGTAAGATACTTGTGCAGGTTTAACACACTAATTTAAAAACGATCTGAATTGGCGTCCTGAGGTCGGATCAAGACATAGACTGCACCAAGCTCATATAGATGTACAGTATAGTAATATAGTAAGGCTCTGAAGTTAGTCCATGTGGACATCTGATGACAAATATTGAAGATGTTCTCAGGCGTAATGTTTTTGATTGCCAGATTAGCAGTTTTGCTGAATTCTAGTGATTCAATTATAAAAAAAAAGGACTTGCGGCAGTGGCAAAGTGCCTTCTTTGTTATTTTATTGTTTCTTGCTTAGCCTTAAATTTTTGGTACCAACCCATGAAACACAGAAAACCTTCAGTATTATTATTATTTTGTTTTGGTCACAAGTCTAAACTGAACTAAAAAACCTTTTATCAACTGTATTATGCTGATGAGTATTATGGTGACCAGTTATGTATTGTAGATTTCAAAGTAACTGCACATACCTAGCATAGCACACATGAAGGGTTAGGCCAGTACCAGGGGTGTACTTCTGCATGAGGCCCTAAGCCTCAGTTTAATTCCATGTATTTTATAAAATGAAAAAAGAAATCCTCCTATTTTAGACTAGAGTAAATGTATTTTTTTTTTCTATGAGGGCTGATGCTGTTATAGCCTCAGCTATGAAGTTGATGTTCTGTTTCATACATTTTCCTTTTATTCTTTCTCAAAGTGCCATTAAAGAGCCATTTGTTTTTATCTTAACACTGAGCCTGCATGCTTACAATTTTCAGATTCTTTGATCTGTTTATAGTTACTTATACTCCATATTTCATATATTTAATTTTCTCCTAAGTTTTTCAAGACTGTAGCTTTTACTTTCTATATAAAATAAACAATCTTTGTTTACAAAAGTATCCCTACCTGGTCTATTTCTTATAAACCCTACAGCGCTTATAAAACTGAAGTGGGTACTGTACGAAGCAGGGTCAGATTCACTAAATGCTCATGCTTGGCACTAACCTCCAGCTTTTCCAGCCACATTAAGCTTGCATGCACAACTTCTGGCTCTCTTTCCTCACTCATCCTCTCGCCTTAAAAGTTTCTTTAGTATTGTGAATAGTTAGTAACTCCAGTATTAGTCATGATTGTAACAGTGATGTTACAATAACTGTAACAGGTATGTCTTTTTCAGTACTGTACGTCACGTGACAGGCCAGGCCTTTTTTTTTAAAAACACAAAACTTAACTTTATGTTTGTGTACGTCCACAGTAGACGTACTGTAGCTCTGACTCCTGTAGCTTGCTTTGCATCTTTGACATGCTCACCGGCCATCCACCTCACCCTTCTCTTCCAGATCCACTTCCTCATGATTCTCTCAGCAAACTGGGCCTACCTTAAGGATGCCAGTCAAATGCATGCCTACCAAGACATCAAAATGAAGGAAGAGCGGGAGCTGCAGGACATCACCTCACGCTCAAAGGAATGCCTCAATTCCTACACATAAGGATACTACACGCTCACAGTCCACTCAAACACTCATGCAGACACACATAGACACTGCGGCCAACCACTGTGGCCCCCTTTTTTGGACCAAGGCAACGCTCAGCTAAAATAACCTGCCAACTGCCCTGACACTGTGCAGTACTAACCGGGCTCCTAACAAACTAATGCATCAGTGTTGCTTTCTGCACTAACTCACCAAGAAGTGTTGTTGTTTTATTTTTCGTTTTAGCTATGTGCTATGTGAAGTTTCATTCATGCTGTTTTTTTATTTTCTGTTTTTTTTCTGTAGGAAAAGGCATTTGAGTTGAGATCTGATTTTCATGCAGTTGTTGATTCTCTCTCTCTCTCTCTCTCTCTCTCTCTCTTTTTTATAACTGGTGTTTGCTGGTGAAGCTTGAGACATTGCACTATTCTTACACAGCGCATAACAATGACAGTTTGTTTTACAGTCTTGCTCTGTCTTTCCTCTGACCTTCTGTGGCCAGTTTTCAACTAGGGAAGATTGTTTTTTGCTTTTGTTTTTTTTCAATCAAAAATGCGGATGAATTACATACAACATGAAAGGCCTTACATCTAATCTGAGTTAGTCACACTGTACGGACACAAGACTGATGCTTCAAAAGATACGTGCAGCAGATTCTATTGTGAAAGTTATACATGATCTACAAAGTCAGACTCCTTAAAACTTAAGAATTTAGCTGCTTTGCTGTCTCAGTTAGCAGTCATGTAAGTGTTGTGGATTGATTCTTAGATTTTGATTGCCATTGTACAGCTACATAAGTCATTCAGAACATTAATGGCCTACATTAACACTACCTCAGGTGTGCACTAGAGCCTATAGACTGAAACAAACAACACTTCTCCCCGGTCAAACTATGGTTTTAAAATCCAATTTTAATTGCAAATCAATGCCTCAGACACACAGTATGTATTTTTGGTAGCTACAAAGTAAACACCCACACCAGGAGCTCTTCTGCATCAGTGATTATAGAGTTAAACTTTTACCGATAATGCCATAAGAATAACTTGCTAATTAAATGTGGATGCTGCCAATATTGAGATGATATCCAGTATATTAAGTATCTTACAACTTTGGTCCATATGTATTCAAGGAAAAAAAAGTCAAAGCTTTCCAATGAGGAGAGCTCGGATTGTAGCCGTCGTCTATTGTAATATCTCTACAATATGATTAAAAATGATTTGATTTTGAGAAATCTTATGAAACAAACATGTCCCACGTGCATTGTTACGATTAAGAACTTGGGGCGTGAACAGTGTAAATTTATTAAAAGTCCGTATTTTAGTATCGTTTTTTGTTATTTTTGGAATATGAAAACCACTTAAATTTTTTTTTGTTCTTATTTTTCTATAATTGCACCTGTTTTTATTGTGCAATTGTCAGAATGTCGACATAATTACTCGTGTAATCTTTTATTTCTTCTAGTTGAGTTACAGGGATAACTTGATGTTTCTTTGTTGCATGAAGACAACTGTTTCTGCAGTGACACACGTGATGTACAGTCATGTATACTGACATCAGTAGTAGGCAGTGTTTGCCCGTTTCCCTTTTTTTTTTTTTTTGTTTTCTAACTGAATACAAATTAACTCATGTTACGTAGCTGATTAGTTCTAGATATTATTTAGGTTCTTTTAATTAATTCAAAAGTATACGCGTATTATTTTGTTGCATGATAGTATACCTGTGTTTTCTATGAATGTCAAGGGCTTCCTCGTGATGCTGATACTTTCAATTCAACTTTTCAGTAACAATTAGTCACAACACCAGTCATTCGAACAATTGTATAGAAATATAAAATGGTCAATTTAGCCAAAGTATGAATGCCAGTGTGACTTGCTGTCCGGTGTTTTGAACAGTATCCGTGAGATACTGCGGTACAAAACCTGCATTGTTCCATGCAGGACAGGCTACAGGTGTGCAGTGGCCGAGCAGAAAGATGACAGATGTGCATAATGTACGTCACAGCTCATCTTTCTACGTTGTGTTTCCTGTTGAATGAACCAAAAATAGAAAAGAAAATGCTATCTATCAATCACCAGGAGGACAACAATCAATCAACGAGCATCCTGTCTGACTGGAGCCCCCTTTATGACACGACTCAACTGGCCTGTTGACTGTTTTTATGAAAATAAATAAAATAAAACAAGCTTCTATCTGTTGTTGTGTGTTTATGTTGTGCATGATGAACTGTCTTGTTAGATGGTGCAGAGAGTTTGAAAAAATGTACATTTATTCGTACATATGCAGTTAATACAAAATGGGTCAAATATACACATTAAACAGCAACGTTTTAAAATAAAAGCAAGAAAAGCTTCAAACTTGAAGCAGTGCAAGTCGACAGTGGCGTGTATAATTTAGATAACGATAGCACTCGGGGACCGTCGGCTCACCAGAAATCATCATCTTCATCTTTGGGTGAATATGCTGCAATGCTGGGAAAACACAATCGGGTTAATTAGCGAAAGCCTCGAGGGACCGAGATAAAAAAAAACAGAATTAGGAATAGTGAAGTATTTTTAAATTGACTCTACATATTTCCAGAGCAAATAACAACAATAAAAAGAGGCCAAGAGACGAGAAACCAGGAAGTAATTAAATGTTATTGCGAGAGGATTATGTTGGTCTGCATGCTTATTAAACTTTTCTGCAGTTCTGTACAACATAGCTTTTAAATTACAAAATGTAGGGTGTTTTCATTTATAATAAGTAAAGCCATGAATCTAATTATCCAGTTTTTAGTTGAATCAAGTTTTAAGTTACCTGTCCTCTTTCTCAGACAAACTCTTGGCCTCTGGGCTTGTATGTTCTGCTGCTTCTCTTCCAGGGCTCTGAAAAAACAACAAGAAAAGCTGCTACAAGTCTGCTAGAAATGTTCTCCAGCAGCCTAAGACAAATGTGCATACAACTCACCTGCGCACGCTGTTTCTCTCTTGCTTCCAGGACCATCTTCATGTATTTCTCCAGTGGATTTTCACCTTCAGATTCCTTCCTACCATCATCATCATCATCTGCTTCATCCCTCTGCTCTCCATCTCCTCCTTTCTTAACCTCCGTTTCCACTTCTTCTTTCTGTTCTGGTGGCTCGACCGCTTGCGAAGCCTGGTAAGACAAAGACGCTGTCAGCATTGATTTCAGGTTGTCTTTTCTCAGCAGACATAAATATTTAAAGTTCAGAGAGAGGACTTTTAGAGGAACTTAGGAAAAGATAATCATCACCATCTCTTTCTCCAGCCGTGCCAGCTCTTGCAGCTCTCTCTCTCTGGCTTCCTCTTGTTCCCTTGCCCTTCGCTCTTGTCTTTCTATTCGCTCTCTTTCCCACTTCTGCTCTTCATCTTCTTCCTCCTCCTCCTCCTCTACCCCAGCAGTTTCGCCTGAAGATTGTGGGACTTATAAAAGACACATAGATTAACACGAGTGAGGTAACGCGTCAGTTTGTCACATTGGTTTGGTTTAAGAAGCAATTTACTCCAAAATGGCAACGCTATAAGCTAAATCCGACACATTCATTGAGGCAGAGTGATAACGTACAGTAGAAGATGTCCGTTCTTGTCATTCGCGGGTCAACCGAGATCATGGATCATTAATGGGAGGACTAACGACTCACCCGCTTGGCCCTGCAAATCTATTGGGTCTTCTGGGAGGTCCTGTGGGTGGGGGGCAGCGGGTCCGTCAGGGGCCTCCTCAGAGAGAGGGACAGCAGTGTCCAGGAGAAGCTCTGGAATGTGGCCGGGCTCTGGAGGGAGACATGCACAAAGAGATCTTTTATGCTCCACCATAATGCAAGAGGGCCAGAGGACCAGCACAGAATACATAATCAGCTGTCCTTCATCTTCACCATTGTGCAGGGCTGCTGAAAGGACACTTTGGAGGCCAGTCACACACTCATTAAAAAGCAGCAATTGCAAAATCCAAAACATCCATACCGGACACACGTTATTTTGTAACTGAAATTTTATTTAAATTAACGATAAGAAGTAATAATGAATAATTTTGCTGGAAATATTTTTGCATTGACAGATGGTGCGTATGCTAATTAATCGCTTTTTTTTTAAGCACTTTTTAGCTCACCGATCGCATCATGAGCAGCGGTCATGAATGGAAGATAAATATATAATGTACGGCTGTTCATCCCAGAATACAGCGAAAGCTTTTCAGATTTAGAAAGAGGAGGAAAATCTCATGGCACCAAATGTTAAGGAAGCTGTGCTCGCAAGATGGACACCCAGGGGACTTGTCATCTCTGCTCCATGTCTTACAGTCAAACAGCATGCAAGAGAACTGTGAAAGGACTTTATGTGCCAACAGATTAAAAGTTCTCCTTTGATCACAATTCTGGCCCAGAGGGCTTTAAAGTCAAGAGGAAACACACTAGAAAGGATCTAAACTGGGTCTCTTGTGTAAGGAAAGTTCAGCACAAACAGTGAGTTGAAAAATGTTTGATTATGTGATTGTGTTGTATTTAATGTGTTGTGCTTTAAACAATAGGGGGGAAAAAAATCAACTGATACTAGTTTAGGATACCTGACGATGTCCCTGTGAGATCTTCAAGGCTTATCTTCTCAGGCTGTGGGGAAGACTCTGAGCTGGAGAAGACAGACTGTAGCTTTGGTGGGCTGAAAGAAAAGGCGGTAAACATGAGCGCATTAGTATTCAACGTGTCTATAGACAAAAAAAAAATACTAAAATGTCACACTGTCCTTGCCAAAGCCACGCCAGATGGTACCTGGACTGCTCTCGCGCTGTGCTCTTGAGCTGAGGACTGCGAGGTGGACTGAGCTCAGAGGAAAAATCACCTGAGGTCGCCACCTCACTGCGGGGGGCGGGGGGGAGCTGTCTGTCAGATGACAGCTGGGGGAACGCTACTGGAGACACAGCTGCCTCTAACAGGAGCAGAGACTTTATATTAGAAAACATCATCAGAGGAGAAGGATTATCATGCTGGGATTTGGATAGATTGATCTGAACGTTTGCACATTTTTTACATTCTGGAATATTAGTAGAAATCTACCCTATATGTGCAGTACGTAAGCAATGACAACTAGAAACTATTCAATCAGTTATTTCTTGACACAGAAAAACACTGGATCATCTTGACAGGATAAAGTATCTGATGAAGGTACCTTCTGCACGCTCTCTTTGAAGCTTGGTCCTGGGAGAAGATTGTGGTGTCGAGGACAAGCGTCTAGATGGAGCAAAGTGTTCATCTTGAAGTTGCTCATCTCTCAGGAACAAAGGTTCAGTCAGTGAATGGAGGCTGTGGTCAGTATAAAGTGTGGCCTGGGGTTGGTTGTGGTCTTCTGTGAAGGTCACTCGTGACTGTGCATGTGGTAAGATGTTTCTGGTGCCATAGGGTGACATGGAGGGGGATCGTATAGTTTGAGGAGAGAGTGATCTGCGCGAGACCTTTGGTTTGTGGGTCGAATGAGAGTCTTGTTTTCTAAGAGGAGAGACAGGCCGATGTAAAGGATGTGCTTGTTGTGGGGAAAGAGCTCTTGGGGGAAGCATGTGTGAGATGGTGGAGTGCACTGCCCTCTGCTGGTAGTTCCGGTAGGCTTCCTCCAACGTCTCGGCCTCCTTTTGCAGCTCCTTGATCCGTGCCTTGGCTTCAGCCACCAGCTCCATGTCGGAGTCTGGGGAATCCCTCCAAGGTGGCTTGTGTCCTTGCAAGGGCCCACCTGCTTCACAAACATCATCACAACCCACCCTGGCTCTCAGCGCAGCTCTATCGACATAGATGTCAGGGGGGACCAGATTGTTGGAACTGAGCTCCAGTACTGAGCGATCAACAAGCGAGGGCTTGGGGTTGCGCAGCACTTCATTTTCTAGAGCTGCCATCATTGCATGAATTACATAAAAGGAAGGAAGGGAAAGGGGGAAAGCAAACAAGAGGAGCGTTGAGCACTAATACAGAAAACCAACCACCATAAAAGAAACAGTTTCACTAAATTAACTTCTAAGAAATACATGCAACTACGTCAAAAATCCAGTTGCTATTAGTGGCTTTCTTTCTTGTTTCAACTTCAGTTTCTATTGTAGCATTTAGAACACAGAGGAAGCATGCTTGAAAATTGACAAATATTTTTCCTTTAACGTGATTTTTAACAGGAAAGAAAGAAAGCCTGCTTATGAAAAGCAGAAATAAATGTATCTACAAAGTTATGTATTACCGGTGGCAACATAAATAATGACTACACACTGAAACAAACACGATTCAAAGTGACAACCCACACCAAGACAGAGCGGACATGCATGTCTTATCATGAGGTACCTTGTTGAGTTTGGCGAAGCTGCATCTTAACGTCCTCAACGTGGTTAGTCATCCACTGTGACTTCTCTTCACACTCGATCAGCTGAGCTCTGAGCTGAGCACACCGCTCCACCTGCAGCAAACAGACAACAGCATATTCCATGAGAAGTTATTGTTTGTACACATTGTAAGGTCTGTGCAATGTGTATTATACGTATAGGTCACCAGAAACCCAAACTCACACCAAATTCTCAGAGATGAAATAAAACAGTGTAGAAAAAAAAGCAGACCACATAGTTTCCCACAGTCAGCAAGAAGCTGTGATGTGACTGACCTCACTCTGGAGCTGTGCCTGCAGCACCTGTTTCTGGTTGTCAAACTCTTCCTCATCCAGTCTCCGAGCACTCTGCAGCCTTCGAAGCTCCATCTGCATGGCTAGTTGCTCCTTAGATGGCTTGCCCATATCTGAGAACGGGGAACAGCTTAATTTTTCACTGTATGTTTAGTTTTAGTGGGAAAACTGTCGGATGAAATGAATCTGGTGATTTTTTTACACAAGTAGTTCTGACTTAAGGTGTCCATGTTTCTTGTAAATGCTCCATCTTATCCATCCCATCCTGGCTGCATGGATGTGGCCAGCATAAGAATACAGCACATGGGGCTTATTACTATGTTGCTGCCTTTTGTTAGTGATGTGGTGAGAGGCCCACTGCTCCCTTGGCACATCCTCAAACAGGAAGAATACTGTATTCCTCAGAGAGAGGTAACATTTTGTTGGTCATGGGTAAAGGGAGCCCTCTGTCTCTGCTCACTGTGCTCTCTGCTCCCATTCACTTCATCTCTCATCCTCCTTCCCTCACTGGTTGCCTGCAAAGCTACAAGCACAGCACAAAGGCCCCA